GAGAAATGACGTGCTAGAGCCTCTAAACATGACAAATGTCTCTAAAAATGATATCTGTTTTCAATTGAAAAGCAGAGTTGTGACATCATTGTCTAGGAGGACAATGGGGTCTAGGAGTATGTATAGAACATTGGGGTCTAGGAGTCTCCCCTGGTTCAAAACCATCTTTAGAGGTCCTAGCACGCCATTTCTCCGGGCTTTCAATTATATTCCCAATTAATTAAATTCGCCATCATTTTAATTTGTTTACCTCAAATGCTACTAAAAATACTAATTTTCGACGAGAGATAAATGTACGAATGATTAGTGCCTCGTTGACTACCAACTCATTAAGAAATCATCAAACTCTTCATCCTCAAATTCCCTTTAAAGTCTTGAGACCATTCATTACAAATCACTACGCAAACATTGAGAAAACCGTGAACACACAGCACTTAACTTAATATTCCAAGAACGAATGGATGACTCACATATCTGTAGTCACAGTTCCATCTGCATTGCACGTTACCCTAACACAGTTGACAACATGCGTTCCTGGAGGCAGTCGCCGCGATTCATAAGTGCATTGTACGGCTTCTGATCAATGAAGGGAGAAAAAAAATTGAACATTACATTGGGACTTTCAGTGTTACCAGTGCTCACCAGCTCGTAACCACAGCGTTGCGAGTATAATTAATCGCAGAATAACGAAGTGTGTTGGCTTCATTATATTTTCCCTAGAGTGACTTCAGCAACTACGAATTTATTTTAAAATCCCGGGATTTATAATGAATCCTGGTATGTATTCATTTGCCTGTTTACTTCGTATCAGTCTGTGTTTGAATAATGCATTGTTTTCCTCATGGGCTTCGTTATCCGGAATTTCTGGTTGAATGTTCATAATAAGATTAACAATATTGTTCTAGGGGATTGACGTATTATTTATTTATTATGACAGATTAAGTGTCTAGAAATAATCTACATTTCTCTGCTTGTTGTGTATTATGAAATTTGAAATTAATGATCATAAAAACAGTTGAAAAAAATTTAAATTTCATGGACAGTTGACTAGTAATTTTTAGGAGTGACTTTGGAATTAATTTAAGGCAATAAATAATGAAATTTCTGATTTTTTAGCGCTAGAAAAATACGAACTTCTATGAATTTTTGATAAACATGAGCATTCAGTGCCAAATGGCTTTGAATTTCGAATTAATTCTATTAATTTCCCAATTTCCAATCAATTCTATTAATTTTTTGGAATAATTAAACTGAACTGTTAAAGTTCCATTGATTTTTCCATAAAATCTTTGTTTTTTAATGACGAAATTCCTTGAAATTTCAGACAAAAATTGTAAACAGTGTCACATCGACGAGTTTAAAAATAATTTTAATTGATTCCAGTTGAGATCAGCGATTGATGAATACGCAATGCACGATGAATTGTATTTCAATCATTCGTTGAATAATATAATCGACATGCATTATGCTGTAATCTCAACATTCTCAATGATCTTTCATTTTTTAATGCAAATTCCATTTGATAAGGCAGGAGAAATAAAGTGATTATAATATTTTTTTATGATAAAAACGTGACTTTCGGCCTGATATGGTTTATGATAATGTTATCTTTATCGGGGGACAATATTTTGGTTTAGGGTAGTAATAACACTGCTTCATTCTTCTAAACTGCTCTTTATAAACATTGATTTGGGAGAATGGGTCTGTTGAAGGGGTTGACAAGGGATTCAGTCGCTGGCGCAGATAGGGTGGTCACAACAATCCGGATAAACTTTTGTTTTGTCTCCGTAAATGTAATCAATTTCCTTCCCCGGGGCACAACGGTAGACTCCGCATCTGAAATTATTCTGTTATTTATTATCTGAAATTATTCTGTTATGCATTTTATTATTATTTATTAATGGAATAATTAAAAATTTACAATTTTTCAAAATTACGAGCATTTTTTAGCAATAATTTATAAACAATCAATTTTCAACCATGAAAATCATTTGTTCAGAATCGTCGCAAATTTATTCATATTCAGATTTTTACCAGAAATCTATTTCATAACTAAAAAAATGGTTTTCGAAAGTTTAAACAAGTTAAATTATTTATTTATAAACAACGAATGTTTAAGAAAATAATAATTCTGTGCAAAATGTAATTTTTATTTTTTTTTCAATTTTTTGTCACGTAATTTAAATGACAAATTTGATGAGAGAAAATTGTTGAACCAATAGTGTAGTTTGTTTACATAAAACAAAAATTAAAAATCCATTTTTTTATTTATTTTGGTAATAGGTTCCGATAATATGTGACATGTTTTGTATTCATGAATATATTCTAGAGGGTGTACATCTGGAGTAATAAATAAGTAAATAGAGTTCTCATTAGTTTTTTCATGAAATTCTTAATTTTCATTGACGAAATTCCTTGAAATTTCAATCAAAAAATAATATTCCTTTCCTAATTCTTCGCGTTATTTTCCAAATTCGAATTTATCGACAATCTTCTCTTCTTTGAAATGTGTTTCTACATTTGCAAAATTCTTACGAAATTAAAAATAAACATAAACATAAAAATTGGAAGGCCACTATCATTTTTTTAAATTCATAATCAATATATTTATATCCAAAATTGATTTATCTACTGGAAATTAATTTCATGACGAAGAAAGCCCAAAAGTTTATGCACTTTGCGTTACTTATTTATTCATGTTAAGAGAATAATTGGAAAGCGGCCCGTGTGTTGCAAAATATTAAAATTTTCTTGAAGTTTTTCTCGTGCAATTGAATTTCAAAAATTGTAGATGCACTTGGATGCCCTAAAGTAAATAAAACTCACCCGACCCCCGATACACTGCCATCTTCCTGACATGTATCAATGCCGCAAACAACGGGGATCTTCTCCCCAGTTTTCAAAATTGTCCCTTCGTGTACGCAGTCCGCTGTTGACAATTAAATATAAAAAATTGATTCTCGGTATGTCATGTCAATAAAGCTCTCACCGTTTGCCTGGGCAACAAAGAAAATTACGAGGATCAGTCCCCAAAATACCCCGGAACTCATATTGACAAGTTTATTCAACAATTCGGGAACAACTAATCGCATTTATCGCGGAGATTGCATTTATAATAACTCCCCCTCTGCGTTCGCGTAAGAGTCAGACTAGTGATGCGTTCGGCGAGGCGTACCGAGAGTGAAAATCCTTGGGAGATGGGACCTTGTCTCTCTGACATTGAAATTTATAAGTATTTTATTTCAGAGATGATAGGAAAATTTATGATCTCTCCTTTAGCACTGGAAATGCATTATGCAGGAGGTTGAAATGCTTATCCAGGAATAACATCAGAAATTCTCACTTGTTGATTAAAAAATGTAGTTGCAGTCATCTTGAGGCATGTCGAGTGGTGAATAAAAAATTATAGGGGAGGCCTGGGCAAAATTAAATGCGGGGCAAAATGAAAACGCAAAAATGTGGAAAACCCATCATTCACGCGCTTTGGGGAATTTTTTTGCTCTATTTCACTTGGAATGTGACAGATTGAGATTAATTTGAATGGAATTTTCAAATATAACAAACAATTTTACCTAGTGAAGAAGTGTTATACTTTACATTTGTTAATTGATTCATATATTAATACATTAATTGATTGATACATTAATTTGTTCGTAATATTTTTTGTTTGATAAACAATAAACGGAATGAGTTGAAAATGTTATTAATTGTTTTTTGGGTAAGGAAATACTTGGAAAGGTTCGATGAGGTCGTGAATGGAAAAAATCACAACTATTTGATTTTGCCCCGATCTCTCGTAGCTCTAAATTAATCTTCTCGGACCGCAAACTTTTGTGGAGGACTTATTTTTATAAATTGGGTAGCCAGAATTTTCTTAACATGAATGAAATAACCGAATGAAATAAATTGAAAGCATTAAATTGCGGTGATGATCGAGGGAAAACCCACGAAATCATGAATTTCTACTCCTTGTTGATTAAAACATGCAGGTGCAGTCATATTGAGTCACGTCAAGTGACGATTAAAAAATTATAGATTGAAATCAGTTTTCTTGGAACTCATCAATACTTAAGTAGACAGATTTATTCATTTCCACGAATTGGATAATGAGAATGTTTTCAACAATTGTTATCCAAATTGTAAATTTATTCGATGAATATACAATTTTTTTGTTCTCGATTAGCGAAAGTCATTGAGAATTGAGATAATGAAACTGCAAGTGATGATGGAGGGCAAAATAAATTCCCTAAATTCTGTAAACTCGATTAACTGGACAATAATTCTCTTCTGATTGATCCACGCGACCTCGAATACGTCAATTCTATTGGTCGGAAAGATGAGGGAAATCATCAAATTAATTTTCTCAGAATTAATCAAGACGTAAATTCAATACGTGAATTTATTCATCTCCATAAATTAGATAACAAAAATGTCTTTAACAATTGTTTTGAATTCATTCGATGAACAAAAAAAAATTCGCATTCATTGAAATCATATTAAAAATTGAGAGAATGAAATTGCGGCGATGATTGATGGAAAAACCAGGAATCGTAAAAACATCTGCTCTATCATGATTTATTGATCTCTACAAATTGGATACTAGTATATCCTCAATCGGCATTTCAAATGCGTGCTGTTTCTACTACGCACAGATAGGCCCGCCGCAACATTCGGGATAAACTTTACTGTCATCTTGCTGTTTATACCCAATTTGTGTTCCTGGTGGGCACGCGTAGTCTCCACACCTAGAATCATAGTTTTCGTCACAATCGATCAATGAGAAAATCAGTTTATTGAACTCACCCTACAGCAGACATAGTGCCGTCCTCTTTGCAAGTGAGGGTACCGCAGGTAATATTGTGGACTCCAACTGCCAATTTGCGACCTTGGTAGTCGCACTCGGCTGTCAAAAAGTGAATAAAATAAAGATCTGACTTAAAATTAAATGAAAGATATCAGATCAGGAATGAAAAACTTCTCGATTTTTGAGTACACTTTTTGTACATTTTTATCGCATTTCAGTGACACAGAAATTTCAAGGAATTTTGTCATGGAAAATTTAAAATTTCATTGAGGAATGAATGGAAACTGAATTTTATATAAATTATTCGGTGAATTTATTAAAATCAGGAAAATTCAGGTTAATATATACCTGAATTTTTAATTAATTAAAAATTGAGTGTAATTTGGTACTGAATATTTGTACTATATTTGGTACTGAATATCTCCGAATCTAAGAGAGATATCAAAATTTTCATAATGACCTTTTTTGCAGCCCTCAATCCGCTCTACAAAAAAGGTCATACCAACAACTTCGCTATCTCCCTTAGATTTCAAGATATTCACTAAACCCAATAGTTACTCAACCCAATAGTTAAAACCATCTTAAAGCGTTTTCCCGCTTCGCTGCTGAATTTCATCCAGCAAAAAAATGTGTCCCCAAATAACCCTAACACAAGATACATACCAGTGACCTGCAAGACCCAGAGACTCCCCATAACAATTCCACAAAAAATAGCGAACCCCTTCATCTCCACAATCTCCAGAATGCGCTTTCCACCGCCTAATGATCATCACTCCTTATAACAGCCAGCCCCATCCATCTCAATTCACTCCGACGCACATATTTGCACAACAAACACCACCGAATGATCACCACCAAAATCCGCCGCGATAACGCCCGCAATTCCCCTCGACCAACTATGACAGCCGAAATTGTTGTTGCAGAGAGCCGCAGATGGAATCCACCCGTTTATTATCCGAAGAAATTTACCGCGAGCGTGTCCCAAGCGACAGCCTATTCAACCCATCCTCCCGTCAGCCCGATAACACCCAAAATTCGATAAACGACAGTCACAACATTCACAATCAAGCGCACCAACAGCAGCGCAATCAAACCGCCCGCCAAGAAGACATATTCGACAATGATGATGTATTCGGTCCGCCACCACTGCCAAAAGCCAATTCCAAGTCCAAGTCCAAAGTAAACTCACTGTTTGACGACTCGGATTCGGGTGACGATCTATTTTCGAACACAAGTTCCGGATCGCGCTCGCAGAAGAGCGCTGAACAAGCGGCTTCTCAGTTCGCTGAGAAGCCCAAGATCAACACGACTGCGAGAGGTGGTCTCTTTGACGCTGGTGTGGACGTATTTTTGAATCGTAGTGCTCCGGACATTGACATTTTCGCTGAATCTGGCACTGGCCAGAAGCCCAAAGTCGATCAGCCATCGGAGATATCTAATCAAGGGGTGAATGCTGCCGGCAAACTGTTCGTCAAGAGCGGTAATTTGTTCGACGACGAGGACGACGAGGATCTTTTCGCTCTGAGCAAGACAGCCGAGAGGATGGTTGACACCAATGAGGATAAGGTGTTGGCAGCTGCGTCGAATGCTGCGGAGGATGTCAAGAAAGATTCTGCTGGTGTAGCGAAATTGGAAGAAGCGAGGGAAAAGGAAGAGAGGAAATCTGGTCAGGCGGATTCTCGTAATCTCTTTGGGGATGTCGACGAGGAGGACGATGACAGCCTATTTGGCCGGAAGAGGGACAGCAACGCTTTGGCGGCTTCGCCTGTTGCGGGGGAGGGGGCGACGGCAACAGATGGCCCAGTAGTTTCAAAACAAAAAGCCACTGGAGATGGTACGAAAATAGAACCGCCTAAGAGCTTGAGAATTCGGCTACCGGTAGCTGGTGAGGATTCTGGCCAACCACCTAGGAGAGCTGTTTCGGGGAAAATAGCAAACTTGATGGGGAAAATGGGGGATCTGAAGATACTTTCGCCCACGGATACGCCTCCGGTTTTGAGGAGAGGTGAGGAGAGACAAGACTCTGGGGGGGACACGCCGGATAGGGATTGTGAGGACGGAGGGGCTATGAGTGCGCCGAAAACACCGACGTCTCCGTCAGCGCCAAGTAAATGGATTCTCTTTATTTTCTTGGGATTTGTGAGTAAATATTGGTTGGAGGGGTGATGTGGTTTTTTTGGTTGGTTGCAGAGGATTTAGCGGCGAAAGAGGCTTCGCTGTCACCGTCGGTGCTTGATACGGAATCAGCGGTGAGCTTCGATGTTCCGGCGCAGGTGGAGACTTTGTCGATTGCATCGAAGGTAAACAAGTTTATGAGAAGTTTGTTATTAAGAGGCAGAAATTTTTTCGAGTTTAATTTCGCGATAGGTTACTACATTTTTGTAATGATTTTTTTGTTGAACTTTGAAGTTCTAAGTTTAAATTGTTAGATGTTTAAAAATCGGAAAAGAATAGAAAGTAGGCGTTTCGAGAATTTTGAACCACATTTTCAAAGTCTGGAAAAAATGAGAAACTACTTTCTGGGGGAAGATCCCCGAAATTATTGGAAAATTATGATTTTCGAAAATTACGACTATTTACGCGACATTTTGCAGTGATTTTATTACTAAACTTTGAAGTTATAAGTTTAAATCTCCATTTGAAATAGTTAGAAACCATTCAAAAACCTGACAAAAGTAAAAAAAAGTTTACATTAAAAAAAAAATAATCACTAAAAAATTATGAAACTGAAAATACTTGAATCTACAGAACCCCTTTTTCCCATGTTATTCTTCTAGTTGAGTTCCTTTCCATAGTTTTGGAAATAATCAATTTTGAAATGAGTCATTCACATTTTAATGGTTTCATACCCGTACGTGAGGGTTAATCTCCCCATAAATCAACCTAACAACTAAAAAAATCCTGACGTTCCAGAGTCGTGCAAGAATTCCGGCGAAACGGAGACCGCAGAGCAGACAAGCCCGTCAGTCGGCCCTCCGTCACAGCGGCATCGACTTCGACAGCCCAGACTCCGCCGGGCCTCCCCCGGGTGCAGAAAGCCCGACGAACCCCGAGGATCCCCCAATGGATAGGCTGTCAGCCCCAACGGATGAAAAAGTACTGAAGCCATCCTTGCAGCTGCTCCCCGACGATAAGTCAGACTTGAGCCTGGGAAAGGAGAGTTCAATCAGCATAACGAAGAACACGTTGTTGTCGCCCTCGACCGACGAGGAGGACCTCTTCGACGTGCCCCCAGATTTACCGGAGGATCCCCAGAAGGAGGACACGTTATTCGGTCGTGCGCCCATTCTCTCTCCAGTCTCTCGTCTGGAGAAGCCTGAGTCTCGAAACCAAGAGATGAAGAAGGACGAGGAGGAGGTGAATGAGGAAAAGTCTGAGGGTCTTGAGTCGTCTGATCCATTGAGGGACTCTCAGCACGACCCACTGAAGGATCCGAGCCAACTGTTCGCATTCGTCACGAAAACCCCATCCCCGGAGAAGGCGAAAAACCTGTTGAGCAGCGATCCCGATGACAACCTTTTCACGCAGGTGTCGACCAAGAAACCTGACGATTCAGAACCGAAGAGAAGTCTCGATCTGTTCGCAGACGATGACAGCAGTGGGGACTTGTTCTCAGGTCCCTTCACGAAAGCGATACCCAAGAAGATTGTTAAAGAGGCGAAGGGCAGTCTCTTTGATGATGTGAACAGTGATGAGGATAACACGACTGACGACTTGTTTGGCTCGGCTTCCAGTAAGAAAAGTGATAACAGTAGATCTGAGGGGAACGAGGGTAATGCAAAGGAGGTGAATAATTTGGGAGGACTGTCTTCAAAGGAGAGCTTCCCTGGGGAGGAGGAGGACGAGGATGACGAAGAACTGTTCTTCGACGCGAGTGAAAAACCTTCGGATGCGAATAAAGAGGAGTCGTTGTTCCCGTCGACGAGTAGAATACCGAAAACCAAATTGGAGGATATCTTCGGAGATCCTTCCAACGGCGATGATGATATATTCTCAAGGAAGAAACGGGAGGCCGATCCCAGATTGTTCGCCGACAGCTCGAATTACTCTGACAGTAGTGATGTATTTTCTAAGAAAGTTGGGGATAGCCCGCAAGAAGCAGGTCCTGCGGTTAAAAAGTCTGTTACTAGAGATTTGAAGAAGACAGCTGAGAAAATTGTCGAGGATCCATTGAGCATGTTCCAAGATGAATGAGCCAGGGGATGGCTCGTAGAGAAGAGTAAATATGTGCATATTTTTCTATTTCAGCAGGTTTTTGGTTCTCGGGGGAATCCAGTGTTCGAACGAATGCGATGATAACTTGAATGTCAGAAAGTTTGCTGAGGTCTCAACGAACTTTACCACTTGTTGAATGAAAAATACATCGATTGGCTCGACCACTGGACGTTTCACCCCAATTAACAGTCACCAATCATGGCAGACTATTTATGCAAACATTAACACTGTTGATAGGCTTTAGCTAGACTATTAAAAATATATTTTGAGGAGTGAAAAGGATATTTTCTACTGTACATATCGTCAACTAAGGCATTTCACACCGAAATGAGCCCTAATAATCCTCACCGTACTAATGAGCGAGCCTGTAAATAAATCATCGAGAAAAGTTTAATGTCAAATGCCCCACGTGTAAATCATTTGATGAATTATCATTTAATAAAGAGAAGAAGTACGTCATTATGGTGTAATTATTGGTAGAATAGACTGATGAAAAAACATCATCCACTTGACCCGCCGAGTTCACAGCAGGGTAGAAGGAATAACAACGAGCCAATGCTATGACAAGCCTGAAAAAATGAATTCATACGGAATCCAGATTCTCCATTCAACGTCAATGCATTGTGATACTTCATACCCACAATTATTGTCGCAAATACGTTTTCACGTTATGTATTATTTCATATGTTCTCATTAGACCGATTTCCTACCGCATCGACTTGCGACTCGTCCATAAGGCAAATCTTATAGTCATCGCAGGGGTGAGAACGGATTTGACCCTTGTATACATCACAAGTTTGAATGCATTAATTGCTTTTTTTTCTTCTTTTTTCTGGAGTAAATGAAACTCAAACTATGTGACCTCGACAGAGGTACCCCCGGCCGGGCAGTTAGTTTAATGGTTCTTTTTATTTACATTTGAAAAGGAGAATTAACATTTTCACGGGGCGTTTGGGAGCCCCAGGGCCAAAGTCTCGTCGGGCTGAATTAGTGCATAGGACGTACTATTCCATGAATAACATCCAGAACACTGGGAAAGGCTTGTATTTATTTGTGAATCCATTACGTATTTATTCGACGCGAGTTAACGAATACATTAGAATCATCAAATGGTGGTTTCCGATTGACAACTTTTGACCTTCAACTATTTCGTTGTCTTCGTCTTCTAGTTCATTTTGTGGTAATGCCGGTGTATGCTTGCCACCAAACGGTCAAGTCGAAGGAATTCGCAGTCTGCGTTTGTTCGTCGTCCAATCCACTTCGGCCGCCGGCAGTGCTGGCTGTTACGTTGGTTTTTTTTTCTTTTCTTATCGCAGTAATTTCCGTGAGTTCATGTACAGTAATTGTTCAGCATTTGATAAGCGCCATTTGGTTGAGGGGTTTTGTTCAGTGAATTTTTTTTTCGAGGGAAAGGGGATCTTCTTTAGTCAAATTGAATCATTATTGCTTCTTTATATAGGTTGCCAGCGTCATCTGATTTTTATTCTTTTTCGATAGAACAATTTGGGATAATGTCGACGGGAAAAAAACAGGGGATCATGGAGACTGAGGTGAATGGCCTGGCCGTGGTGACGCCGGAAGAGCACAGTGATATTGCCGAATTTTACGCGGGATGCAATGTTCTTATTACCGGAGGCTCCGGGTTTCTCGGGAAACTTCTTATTGAAAAGTTACTTCGGTAAGATTTTTGGATTTTGTCACGCGTAGGGGGGGATATTTTAGGCATTTGAGTGGGGTAAATGGAGGGATGGGTGGATGGATGGGACTATGGTCATTTAATTAATTTCGTAATTGTTTCTTGGATATCCCCTGGCCTTTCTTAAATTGGAAAAATGGGTATTTGCTTTTTTGAGGTACTTTGCCAACGCAAATTCTGAGAATATGTGCATGCATAAGAGATGCGGCTCTTCCTTCATGCTTATGGATTTATTTCGCTTTGGTACCCTCAACCGCTCGACTCCGGAAATCAACAGTTAATTATACGACGGGGGGATTTGCATATTTGGTTTGAAATGTTGTCTTTTGGTTGTTGACTCTTTGGACGCGGCGGGTTTCAGAGGTGTTGGACGTTATGTGGGAATGGGAATGTTGAAAAACAGGAGGAATTGTTGGGAGAGCTACGTTGAAGTATGAAATTTGGAGTTTGGGGAGAAATTCAGGTGAATTTTGAGTTTCAGGGGGAAATGAGACGAAAATTTTATGATGTGCCTGATTTTTCAATCAATTTCAATGCATTTCCGTCAATTTTTCGGGTTTTTAATCGTTTGTTGGACTGAATTTTGTAGTTTTCATTGATTTTCGTATCGAATAATAATTTTTAATTAGAAAAGTTGCTCAAATCTCAGTGGAAATGTCACTTGTTAGACATTTAAAATATGTTTACCTCAAATTCAAAAAATTCAAAGAATTTCAAGATGGAATAACGCGGACATTCAAGAGTTTATCTGACTTTTCAATTAAATGAGAAACTCAAGAGTATATTCGGTTGGATTCTCCTCGGTGTCACTGAATAATTGAACTTCAATTAACAGATTTAGTCCATTTCCTCATGGAATTGTGATATTTCAGTCACGAAAAATTTCGGGGATGATTACCGGAAATTGAAAAACAAATTTAAATTCCGTGGACCGTCGAGTGATAATTCGATTCGGAGTGAAAATTCACGAAATTTCAAGCTCAGCTAAGAATCCAAGTGAATTCAAAGAAATCATGAAGAAATAATCCAAAAAATCCCCAAATTGTCTGAATTTTCCTCATTGTTATCCACGAATTGACCTGAAATTAACAATTTTAATTGATTTCCTCATTGAATCGTGATTTTTCAAAGAAAAAATTTCCTGAAATTTCGGTAGAAATTTCACCCTTTAAACAATTTAAATTCTTGATTATGAATTATTTGTCAGAACATGCACAAAAGTTGGTAAATTGTACCTAATTATACGAGCCAAGAAGGGCAAATCTTCGGAGGAGCGGTTCAAGGAGCATTTTGAGGATCCGGTGAGTGATTAGCGTCGAAAAATTTCGAATCGAACTAAAATCACGAAATATCATCCCGAATTATCTCATGTCCCTCAGCTCTACGCTAGACTGAGGGAAGAGCAACCGAATTTCGCGAGTAAAGTTGTTATGATCGAGGGTCAGCTCGACAAGGGCCTGGAGCTATCGCCGGAGAACCGCGAATTATTGAAAAATTCTCACGTGGTGTTTCATGGCGCAGCCACTGTTCGATTCGACGAGAAATTACGGCTCGCTGTCAACATTAATGTGCGAGGAACTAAGGAGATTCTCCTCTTCGCGAGGGAGATGCCCAACCTCAAGGTAAGTCATAATTGCGGACATTGGAAGCGCGTTACGAGCGATAATTTTTTCTCAATTCGTAAAGTCATTTCGAAACGTTTAAGAGACTGATTGGTTTTCCGATAGGCTTTTGTACATATTGGCACGGCATTCTCACAATGCATCACCAAGTTCATTGATGAGATTTTCTACGATCCACCAATTGGCTCTGATGAGCTGCTGACATTACTGGACATTCTTGATGATGATACACTGGAGGGTATAACACCTACGTAAGAAGAGATGTTTGAAGAAGAGAAAATGTGGTTGAGAGATAATTACGTTTCCGAGTTTTCACGGGAAATTATGAGTTTTAGCAGCGAGTGAATTTGATTTAGGGGGAAAAGCCATGAAATTTCAGATTTTTGGGCAGGAGGAGGACGAGAAGTCGCAAATTTACTTGAAATTTCAATCACAACCTGAATTTTCCGAATTTCTATTGATGTTGATGGAATAGTTGAACTGAAATTTGAAGAGTTCATTGATTTTATTATAAAATTTTCAATTTTGAATGAAGAAACCTTAAAATTTCAGGGGAAATTACGTGATCGAAGTTTCCAAAAAGTCTACCTCACCCGTCAATTTTACGATTTTTTTTTATGACTAGAAACATTCAATAAATTAAATTTAGCATCTGCGTAAGAAGAGATGTTTAAAAACGCGATAATGCGGTTGAGAGAAGATTATTTTTCCGAGTTTTCACGGGAAATCATGAATGTTAGCAAAGAATAGTTATGCGTGGGTGGGAGAATATGGGAATTTCGTGGACAATTGACTAGTCATTTTCTGGAGAGTGACAATGAATTTGATTTAGGGAAAAAATAAATAAATTTTAGATTTTTGAACGGAATGAGGACGAAAATTCCCAAACATACTTGAAGTTTCAATCAAAACATGAATTATTTCACAAATCTATCGCTCAATTTTATAAGTTCAATTAAATATTAAACGTTTCAACGAATGGAATTCATTTATCACGAATTATGCCGAATAATTCATCGTAACCATTCACTACACTAACAAAACATTAAAAATACTCTAAAAAAAAAAATTCTTGAAATTCAAAAGCATATTATGATAATTTTCCCTGAAAACCCAGAAACGTACGGACTGAATGGCCAAGACCTTCCCTAAAAATCCACTATTCGAATTTTCACTATTTCAATTTTTAGTTTATTGGGAAAATGGCCAAATACATACGCATTCACGAAAACAGTGGCCGAAGATACGGTGCGAAAATACGGCAGAGATCTTCCATTATGCATTGTGCGCCCTTCGATTATGATTGCAACATCGAAAGAACCAATTCCCGGATGGATTAATAACCTGTACGGTCCCACGGGTGTCGTTCTCGGTGCCGGGATCGGACTGCTCCATACACTCCACTGCGATGCAAAAAATGTAGCCGATATCATCCCCGCTGATTATGTTATCAACAACATCCTAGCGGCCGCATGGCACATTGGCAAGGAGAAGTAAACAAAAAATTGATTCCCTGAGTGTAGATTTTGCATGAATTCCTTCCCGCTGGACGTGAAAATTTGATGAAAAATACTAAACACGTATTTTTCATTTCGATAAATGATGGAAAATTAATACTGAAACACTTTTTGATTTTTCATTGTTTACAAAAATATCTCAAAAACGTGTCTAGTATTTTTTGTGCACATTTCTCACTTCATCGTTTTAAATGAAATAAAATCGATTGATCATTTTAGGGGTGGAAAATTGCAAGGACCCCTCAAGCCCCTTCCGCCCCCAGTCTTGAGTTCGAAAAAGTCAGAGCTCAATCCCGCTGAGGATCCACCGATATACAACAGTGTGTCGTCCTGTCAAAATTCAATAACGTGGGGTGAATTCATGAAGTACAATGAGATCTTCGGTATGGAAGTGCCGAGTAAAATGGTCTTCTGGTATTATTTCTTCGACCTCCATCCGAACATTTGGGTTCATTATTTCTTCGTTGTCTTCACTCATCTACTTCCAGCTATCATCGTTGATACTGCAGCACGGTTGACTGGACGGGAGCCAGTGTAATTACTCAATCATTATATTTTAGTTTTGTTGCATAGTGACGAGAGGGGGAAGTTCCGCAGGTTAAACTTCATTGCAAAATTTATCTCGATGGTTGATCCGCAGGAAAACTTGACAAAAATTCCTGACTGACGATTATTTGGATAATCGGAAATCCCTTATAATAAATTTAGTATTATCTACTTAATGGAAAATTTATAGTTTCGCATTTTGAATTATTTAATTTATCACCTAATTTTTGAGCAGCAAGAAGACGAAAATTACCGGATTAAGTTTAATTTTCAATGGAAACATGGATATTCTGATTTTATTTGATTTCTGTCAATTTTTATGGGATAATTAAACTACAATTTATAATTTTCATTAATTTTCCCATGAAATTTTAAATTTTCTTTGACGAAATCCCTTAAAATTTCAGTGTCCTCCGTATCTCTAATATAAATAAAATACAAATTATAATTAATATCAATGCATAACATCAACAACTATATAAAAAAAAATATTATCTGGATGGAAGAACGAAAATATTCCCCGGCTTCCCCTCGCGCTTCAAAATGCACAATGTCTTCGAAATTTTTAAAAATTATTTCACAGCTCCCCTGACACAAAAACAAATAAAATGAATTTTTATGCGCATAATTTTGTCCTTTAGATTGTGGAATACATACAAGAAAATTCACAAATTCAGTGGAGTTATTTCGTACTTCTCAACGCAGCAATGGAGTTTCCGCAACGACAATGTCATGAAATTGTGGGATAAGCTATCTGCTGTTGATCGCAAATTGTTCTACTTCAACGTGAAAGACTTGATATGGAGGGATTACTACTATTATCATATTCGGGGTCTGCGAGTATTCGTTGTGAAAGATCCCCTGGACACTCTCGAGGAGGGCAGGAAGAGATATCGATAGTGAGTTAAAATACAATTCAGTAGCGAAGTGGTAAAACGGTTTAAGTTGAGTTTTTGAGGAATATTTCCGAATCTAAAGGAGATAGCGAGATTTTTGTAATAATCTTTTTTGTAGGGCCGATTGAGAGCTACAACAAATGTGTCTACGAAAATTTCGCTATCTCCCTTAGATTCGGAAATATTCCTCAAAAACTCAACTCGGGCATAAGTCGACTTAAACCGGTTTACCACTTCGCTACTGAATTCGATGAGCCGTTAATTTATTGGAGATAATTCTATGGGTGATATTTGTTGCAGTTTGAAGTGGGCTCACTACACCCTGGTGTCACTGCTGTATTTGTTCGGGGCATGGTTGGCATATCGCGTTCTTTACTTCTTCTTCTCATTAATATTATCCTTTTAAGAATAATTTGAGTGAGGCAATCTAGTTCGTAAGACGTCAATGGATTTCAGATTAATAAAAAAAATGTGTTGTTAAGTTATTATTTGAACAATTATTGAAGTATTGATTTTAATTTGTTGGATAACATTGAAATTCCAGGAACGGTTGACTAGTTATTGTCAGGAGAGTGACATTGGATTCGATTTAGGGAGAAAAAAAATTAGGAGATTGTGAAATTTTAGATTTGGTCGGAAATTCAGTGAAATTTCAATTTTTTTAAAACAGGAGGACCAGAATTCATCGATTTATGTGAATTTTCAATCAAAATGGGAATATTAATTTCTGAATAACGCGGCATTTTTTATTAATTGATCATTCAAGAATATATTCTACTGATTTTTCTGTAAAATTTGGAATTTTGAAAGTCGCAATTGCATTAAATTTCGGTAAATTTCAAGGAAAAATGACGGTTAAACAATTTTTGAAGTGTAGCGGCTGAGGAGATGCTCAAGCTGGTAAATTAAACGTGGTTCACCCCTTGAAACGATAGATGGCTCCCGCATTATCATTTTCAGCTCTTAAAGAGTCTCAAGTTCTGTTGGAAATGAATGCAATCTTTCGCAAATGATAATTCATTTCATTTTTCAATTTTTCCTGCAAAACTTTCAGACTTTTCGTTCAATTCCCTAATTGTATTTAAGATTAAATTATTCATAAAACAAATTGATTTTTCAGTACAAGAATCTGTAGAAATCCCATAGATATCAATTATTTATATTATTATATTATCAATCAAATTATTCTCTCAAAAGAAAAAAAATTGATTCCACTTGAATTTTTTTCCGATTTTTCCTCTCGATAGTTCTAATTTTCTTTGATTTTTCCTCATTTCAACTGGAATTTTCCACAAGCATGGAGTGCATATTTTTCACCATAAAATATTCCCGATGATATACCGATAGTAAGTCGTCGCCAATTTGCCACAACATCGTCAACATTTTATACGACCCCAGCAGAATTTCCAACGAGAAATATTCGTAATGAAACCCTCGACGTCCCATAATCCTTGATTTAAACTATCCTAAAACTTTATGTTCATTTGATCTATAATCCCAGCGGATTATAAAATTAGTGCACGACATTTGTGCCATCAACGTGAAGATCAATTAATTTCGATAACTAGTCGCGTCCTGGTTCATGCAGAATGACGCGGTGATTACAGTTTTTCAGTTTTCTCCTAACGGTACGTGCCGTGATAAAACGGTTTCTCGAATATTTTTTTTCAATTAGCGCAACAATTATGTATCATTTTGAATCATCAGGATTTTTTCCGTATCAAGAGACCTTCGTCATGAACAACAGATGTTGTTGGTTGGAAATGTGTTGAAGACGTTCCAATTTCTTGGAAGCGACGGATCTCGGCGACACCCACGCATCCGAGAGGTATTCAACGGGTTTCATAACAAAACTTTCTTTATCCCTTCTTTCACCTTTCAGTGGATCATCAAATTGATTTCCTATTGCAATCACAGCGTTTGGATTTTTTTCAAATGTAGGTATTGTTGAGCCCTATCGATCGCCATTAATTAAAATTTAATTCATCGATGAATTGTTTAAATTTTCGAATTTTTTAGAACATCGGTTGTCTCACGATAACTCAAAAAATGCTCTGAATTAATTGAATGATGGCTTAAAAAATTTGTTTGGATGTCCTTTTGACCGAGTTCGAAGATGAAGGCGATAAAAATAATCGTTATTTTGATTTATTTGAAAATTTGCAAAAATTTCGTATTTTTTGAAAATCAGAATTCCGGGATATCTTTGAATATCATGCTTCAAATGAATTCAATCATAGCTTAAAATGTTTGTTTTAATACCATTAAGTCGAAGTTAAAAGATGATTACGATAGCTATATTGGTTGATTCAATTTTTATCATGATTATTGAAAATCTCGAATTTTTCATGAATTTCCCTGAAATTCATTTCAAATTCATTCAAGTATGTGTAAATAAAATTTTTCTATCAACATTTTATCGAAGGGCTGAGGGGAGAGATTGAACCGTAAAAAAAACAATCGGTTGTATAGAAGAAAGCGATAATAGGAATAATAATGATGATGATAACATTCAACTAAGTTGAAAATCTGACAAAATTAGTTGAAAATAAATCTCATTCAATTTAATAAAATGAAATAAACAATGAATTATACGTGATAGAAGGAAATTATGTGCAAAATAACCATTCGGAAGCATATTGCTAATTTATTAGTAAAAATGACTACTATATGCAATACAACAGCAATTTCCCACTTGTTTTCATTCATTCCAAATAAATATTCCACGTCATCACCGCATGTAAAATTATGCATTCCCAGATTTTCCTCGGATATTCGTGTGTCAAATTTTTTGTTATTTATCTAGAAAAATGAGACCTAATGCAAATATTTCATAATAAATCGGCAAGATTATAGAAAAATGGGGAATTTTGACCGCAAAATTGTCGCTCGATATCATGAAATTGCCTATTCCCTAAATAATTTGGCCCCAGAATGCGGTAAAAGCCGGAAATTCAACGATTCCGCTGAAATTTCAAGGATTTTCTACCGGAAAATTCAAACAAAATTCAGCGCATTGTTCTACTCCCAGTGGGTGAGAGCGATTATCCCGGGGGACCGTTAACGGTCCCCTCAGCACGTAAAATCATCATCGATAAGGTTTATTACAGGACGGCATCATACTAGACGAATCCCCACGAGTTTCTCACGTTTTGTCCATGGAAACTACCAATTACCTGAATTTCCCCGGGGAATTGAAAATTATTATCGAATCACTTGGATTAAACCACTTCCCCCTTATCAGATGACCAGAGTGTGTTTATTAAAATAGATGGGGTTATGATGGGTGGATAAGACTAGCTGACATTTCCAATAATCAAATCTGTCTATTCAATTATACGAGAACAAAAAAGCTTAATTTGCTGCGAAAAATCTTCAATTAATTAACTTAAAAAAATTATATAAATATCTTTCAATTCACATCATATTTACTGTATAACATTAAGGAATAATTTTCTCTGGTTTTTTGAGGGAGAATAAAATTTCAATCATTCCAATTTTTGTAGATGCATTAAAAAAGTAAAAATCTGAGGCCCGAATTTTTTGGCATTTTTGGCGAACCGCGGCCTCAATGAGTATTTCCATAACCACTTCCCCCTTGTCCGACGACCAGACTAGGTTTATTGAAATGGATGGGATTATAATGAATAATTAAGTCTAGCTGACATTTCCGATAATCAAATTGTTCCATTAAATTAGAGTAAAATTGGAGAATTCAATTATCTTAATGTCTGGATAACAATAAATTAATTAATTGAAAAAAATTACGCAATATTTATTAATTCAAACCACATTTATATAAAATTAAAGACTGATATTCACAAGAATTCAAGACTTTCTGTTTTTTAAGGGAAAAAAACAATTCCATCACTCAAATTTCTTCTCCATTTGGAAATAAAAATCGTAAATAAATTGAATGAAACAATTTACGCAATAATTTTGATTCAAAACACATTTATATAAAATTAAAGACTGATAGTTCCCAAAATTTCAAGATTTTCTGTTTTTTTAAGGGAAAATTTTTTTTTCAATCATTCAAAATCTCAAGCCTGAATTTTTTCTCAGAATTGTGTAATGATTGTTGGCACCCCGCATCCTCAACGAGCATTTCCATACAAATAGGATGATCATAAAAAAATTGAGGATAAACATGACATTGAGAAAGCAATTGACACAGTCGTCAATCCCACGTGTCTCCTGTCGACACACCTTTGATTTGGGTGCAGGTGTATCGTCACTCTCCCTCGGATTCTTCACTGGGCACTCACCAATGCCAACTCTCGTTCATTTCATTTCATTGAAATCAATTTTTTGTCAATCTACATATTTGAGTGGGAGTTATGAGTCATTTGTATTGATTGTATCCCTGGAAATCGCTCATTGTATCGATCCGTGACATTATCTGGCGTTACACATGCGATTTGTATATGTCAGAGAGACAATAACAATGAAACTTGACTATTCAAATTGATTTTTTGTGGCTGTCTATTCCATTTATTGCAGGAAAACAATTGAATTCACGGCTTTTCGCGAATCTGACATTTTTGTAGTGAATTTCGTGGAGTATTCGTTTTTAAAAAAACGCATGGGCAGTATCTCGAACAGTTCTAAATTTTCCAAATTTAAAAATATTCAGAATTTCACCAGAAATCAATTTTATGCCTAAAAAAATTAGATTTCCGAAAGTTTAGACAATTTCAATTATTAATATGATTATTTATTTATAATAATTATAAATAAATAATTATATTATAATTATTTATTTATAATTATTAGATTATAACAGCGAAGATTAAAGAAAATAATTCTCTGCAAAATGTAATTTGACTAACGCTGAATATTCACCCATTTTCTTCAAATTGTACAATTCTTTTATTGACCATTTTTAATTTATCTTTCCCCGTTACACTCAACGACTCAACTGAAGTCTATTCATACTTCAAATAACAATTAATTTTTCATCTCGTTACTGAAAAAAAGAAAATACATCAGCGCGCGCGTCCGTTCTAGTGAACGATGAAAAATGAATAAACATATTGCACACAATCAGATGCACCTCTCGCTGATAATCTCAAATGGATAAATTGAATATTCCGTTATTCTGATTTCAACTGTCGAGACCCGGGCTGTTCACCTCCCATTGGAACGGTCTAGGATACGCGTGTCATCCTCGTTAGCTTTCCTTTCAACTCACCTCGAGATAGAAAATCACTCCGTAGTTTTGAGATTCGCGTTTGACACTCGTAAAGAGAGACGTGAGCAAGAGCTCGGCCGATAACCATCAGCCTTATTCCTTTAATGCCCCTCGATTAATAATCGCACGGGAAAAAATGCACGGAAATCATTTATCCCTATCCCCCCACTCATCTTGATAATGCAAATTATGTTTATTAATTAAACTGTACGCTTCATCGTGATTCAATGTGCCCGGAGGGAGGAGAAAAAAACACTGCAAAAAGGATAAAGAAGTCAACATGTGTACACA